TTTTGATTAAATATGCAAATAAATATGTCAAAATCTCTGAATCATACAAAAATGTTAATCATTTTTCTTTTATTTGACAATTGAATTTGTTCACATAAGGGATTTGGCGCATGATTAATTAAAACACAGGGGGGTTTGACGCATTTTTTAAATCACAGGGGGCTAATGCGCCGAATTTCCAAATCACAGGGGGGTTTGGTGCATTAAAACCCCCCTTTCATTGGTACATAGGTCCGTATATATACAACAATACACAAGCCCTATACTAATGAGATGGCCGCTGCCCATATACAGTAATTACAATAAATAATAATGATATAAATAAGGCCCAAAGGTGCCTAACATCCCCCTCAAGTTGGAGCATGCGGATCATAAATGCCCAACTTGTGAAGAAGATGAAGAAATTGCCGTTTTCCCAAGGCTTTAGTAAATATATCAGCGAGTTGCTCATGAGTGGAAACATGGTGCGCACGATAAGTCCCTCCTACATGGCATCACGAACATAGTGACAATCTACCTCAATGTGCTTAGTGCGCTCGTGAAAAACTGGATTATGGGCAATATGAAGCGCGGATTTGCTGTCACAGAACAAGGAAATGGGGCGAGGGTGAGGAACACCGAGACTGAGGAGAAGACTCTTGAGCCACTTTAATTCTTCTGTAAGATCCGCCATGGAATGATACTCTGCCTCAGTCGAGGATTGGGACACAGTATGTTGTTTCTTGGTTTTCCAAGATATGGGGGAATTCCCAAGAAACACAACCCAACCAATAAGAGATCGACGAGACAGAGGACAACTAGCCCAATCAGAGTTACACCATCCAACCAAAGTCAAATCACAAGAAGAGCTCAAAAGGATACCTTGACCCGGGGTACCCTTTAAGTAGCCAACAAAACGAATTGTGGCATCCATGTGTGGCTGCCGTGGAGATTGCATGAATTGAGAAAGAATGTGCACTGCATAGGCCAGATCAGGATGTCTGAAAGATAAATAGATCAGTCGTCCAACCAGACGTCGATAGGATTCAGGATCAACTAATAACGGGCCAGTAGCTAGAGCCAACATGTGATTTTGTTCAATGGGAAATATTCCAGCAGGTTTTACACCTAGCATGCCAGTCTCGGAGATAATATCCAGAGCATACTTCTGCTGACACAAAACAATCCTTTAAAGTTGCATGCGAGCTCGATGCCGAGGAAGTATTTGAGGATGCCCAAGTCTTTCATATTAAAGCATGTGCTCAAATATGTTTTAAAAGTTGTCAGGGCGGCAGAGTCATTGCCAGCAATGATCAGATCATCTACATAAATTAGCACATTCTAATATATATATATATATATATATATATATATATATATCTCCACGTCGGAAAATAAATAAAGAATAATCCGAGTATGATTGAGAGAAACCATAATGACGCAAAGAGGCGGCTAATTTTCAAACCAACAGTGGGGAGTCTGCCGCAGCTCATAGAAAGACTTCTTCAGACGACATACAACACCGGGCTGAGTAGGATGGAACCCCGAAGGAAGCTTCATGTAAACTTCCTCGTCCAAATCCTCGTGAAGAAAAACATTATGGACGTCCATCTAGTGAAGTCCCAATTTCTAGCTGCCACCACTGCTAAAAATGCTCGGACCATAACTATTTTAGCTACGGGGGCAAAAGTAGCAGTATAATCTATGCCCTCCTCCTGATGATTGCCAAATACCACCAAACGTGCCTTGAGCCGCTCCACGGTACCATCTGAATGATACTTGATTTTATATATCCATTTACATCTAAGGGCCTTCTTACCTGCAGGTAAAGGTTCTAAAACCCAAGTCTGATTATCTTCAAGAGCACGTATTTCACTCTACATGGCTTTTCTCCACCCTTCATCAGTCATGGCCTCTTTAAAGGATCCTGGTTCGAGACCTGCAAGTATGGCTCCAAAAAACTTCTGATGAAGGGAAGAAAATTTATCACAATTCACATAATGCGCTATACGATAGGACATACCTGAGTTACCCGATGAAGCATAGAGAGACGGGATGGGTGTGAATCGTGAGATGTCCTAACGTGAGTAATGAAGTCACGGAGCAGTAGTGACGTGCGTCGAGCTCTCTAACCACGACCAAGCAATGGTTCTGCCACCGTGGCAGACGCCTCAGAAGTCACTGGAGGAGAGTGTGGAGACAGATGATCCGCAACCCCATCGTGAGACCCTGCCGAGTCAGTCGCGTCTGCATGTGCATGGAGATTAGTCTCAACATCAATAATAGCCGAAGGGGCAGCGGGTATAGGGGTGGGATCGGGATGATCCCGATCCCGATTGCCCAAATCCCGATCCCGTCCCGATCCCGATTCAAACTCAAAGAGGATCCCGTATCCCGTCCCGATTAAGTCGGGATCCCGACATTAAAATCCCGATTAAGTCGGGATCCCGATCGGGAATCCCGCTTAATCCCGCTAAATCCCGACAATGAAGTATCAAACATAAAATTATGTAATTTCTTAAGTTAAACACTAACTTTGATATTTAATGGTTTCAATATTATTCTTTGTTTATTGTTATACCATATTTATCATCATCTACTTATAAAAGTTATTGTAATAATTATCATCTCAAACTCACACTAGTATATACTTCTAGAATAATTTTTATGTGTAACTTCAATTAATTAATAGTATAATTTTTGAATAAGCTATCAAGGCTTAGTGAAACTTACTTCAAACAATATATAAAAAACACTAAAAGAAGGATATGTAATGTATATTATTTAAAATTCAAAACTAAGTAGACTCATTGAGAAACTTTGTGACCAATGAATATAATATGTAAATACATATTATGATTATCTACTAAAGAAAGAAATCTTAGTCTCGATCACAATTTTTTAAAGAGTTCATCAGAACCGCAAAATTTGTAATATTGTATGTTGTGATTTAGATTGTTGGGATCAAGAATAATCTCTACTTAGTTAGGATACCGAATATTCATTTTCGGACAAATGCCGAATAGTTTTAGAAGTTTGATATTGTAAGATACTCGTAGTAAAAGATTAATCTATGTAAGGAATAAGTAATTAAAAAAGATGTGCAAATATTTAGATACATATTCATTTTTTATATATTCATATATAATTATATACATGTATATATATATAATTATATATATATATATAATGTCGGGATGTCGGGATTTTCCCGATCCCGACTTTTTTTTAAAAAAAATCCCGGTCCCGTCCCGACTTAGTCGGGATCGGGAAAATTTCCCGACTAGTCGGGATCGGGATTGTCGGGATCGGGATTTTCGGGATCGGGATTGTCGGGATCGGGATCGGGAGTCGGGAGTCGGGAGTTTTTTCCCAGCCCTAAGCGGGTATTTCTTCGGATATATTTTCCGAGTCATTAACCAAAAAAGGGAATTCATCTTCATGGAACTGGACATCGCGTGAAACAAATATATCACCGGTCTCTATGTCATAGACTTTCCACCCTTTTTTATCACGTGGATAACCAACAAAAGCACACTGTTTACTTCGTGGAAGAAATTTGTCACCTTTAGCTCTCTTGTTGTGGGCAAAGCACAAACACCCGAACACCCGTATATGGCTAAAGTTTGGAACATGCCCGGTTAGCACCTCATATGGAGTCTTTCCGCCAAGTACGTCAGAAGGAGTACGGTTAATTAAATAAACGGTGGACAAAAGACACTCCCCCCAAAGCGATATAGGTACATTGGCCTGGAACATTAACGCATGTGCAGCATTAAAAATGTGACGGTGTTTACGATCAACACGGCCATTCTGCTGCGGTGTCTCCACACAAGAATTTTGAAAGAGAATGTCATGATCGTTTAAATAAGGAAGCAGAGATTTAAATTCAGTCCCATTATCACTACGGACAGTTTTTACAGTGGCTGCAAATTGTGTTCCAACCATAGCAAAAAAAGAAAGAAAATATTTGTACACCTCCTTTTTGTCACGTAGTAAGTAAACCCAAACGGCTCTAGAATGATCATCCACAATCGTCAAAAAATAAACAACATCACAAGTAGAAGAGGTTTTATAAGGACCCCACACATAACAATGAATTAATTCCAAAATATGGTTTGCTTTATTATCACCGACAGGAAAGGGATCACGCACTTGTTTTGCTTGCGAACAGACAACGCAAGCTTTATTCAAATATTTTTTAAAACTACTAGAACTAATAGTAGGAAACAATTTAAGAACCCAGTTTGATGGATGACCCAACCGCCGCTGCCATAATTTAAATTCCGAAGCATCATTCACTCGCACAGCATGCAATGCAGGTACACGTCGGAAGTAGAAGAACTCATCCTGTCTCTCACCGGCTCCAATCAGGTTCTTCGAGTGTAGGTCCTGTATAGCACACATGCTGATTGATAACTGGGAAACTAAAATAAGATGGCAATTTAAAATAGGAACGTATAGGACATGGTTAAGAGCTAAACCATTATATAAAGGCACATGGCCTTCAAACGTAGAAAATATGGTGCCCCCATCGAGCAGGCCCACCGAACAGTCTCGGATGCTAACAACATCAGTAAGGCGACCCAAATCACATGTTACGTGTCGGGAAGCATCAGTATTTTTTTCTTTGTCTTATTAATAAAGTATATTTTAAATTTAATTTTTTCATAAATCAGCAGATCAGTCAATACAACCACATAAGCCAGAACTTCATAAATTTCAGCAGAATCAGCCGATTTCAGTGTTACCAAACGGGCTCTACATTGTAATGAATATTAATCATATTTGTGTAAATAAATTTTATTTTAATAATAGTTTTGTAAAAAAAACCTTTTTATTTTGTCCTTCACAAAAAAAATAATCACATTTTTAGTCCAATCTAAGGTCTCTTTCCGAGTTTCAATTGGATTTTCCCGAGCTGGGACTAGAAACTTTTTGTACGGAGCATCAATTTGTACGGCTTTGGCTTTTTTTATATAGTGTGGGGCTAGGCCAGGAGAGGTAGTATTTAAAAGTAGAGAACACTCATCTGCGAATTTCATGTCAAACAAATGCCAGCAGAAAAGGAGTTATCAGCCAACCAAGTGCCTATGAACTATGGTTTCATTTACGTCCATTTTCAGCATGAACCAAACCCCAGCGATTCACTCAAGTTCTCCCTTTTTCTTCAATTGGGTACATCACACAACTCACCAAACTACACAAAATCATAGCAAGAAGCTAGGGCATTCCTCTTCCCCTTTATTGAAAAGCTGCAAGACTATCCATCTTCTTCCTCCGAATTTCCCATAAATTCGCCTACATCTTTCTGTGATCATCTCTTCTGTTTAGCCAGCTAGCTTCCATGAAGAATTTCAAGTATCCTGCGCCAGACCATCCATCTTCAAGCTTCTTTCTCCCCCCAGATCATCCCATTTCAGGTCTCCTTCATTTATCCGTTTTTTTGTTTTCAATTTTCTGTCTTAAACAAAAAAAATCAGTAAATGCTTACTTAACTACTTAACTCTAATGTTTGTGTAAGTGATGCACATGGTTGTCTGTCACTTTTAGTTTCATCCATTGGATAAAAGAGGAGTTTTGTTATGACCTTTTCTTGAAATGCATAGCCAGTCTGCATTCTGCAAAGACTTGATATTTTTCCTTTTTTTTGTTTTGCTAATGGAGGATGAATGTGGAAGGAAATGTGACAGTGTAATTGCTATAGTTTTGAATGAAACAAAAAGATTGGTTCTTTTATTTTAGATTTGGGACACTCTCAGAGAGAGCTGGAGAAGAAAAGAATAAGGGAGGAGATAATTGCTCAAGAGGATGCAAAAAGAAGGATTCTTGAAGCAGAGGTCAGAATGGAGCTAAGGATGGAGAGGGAAGCTTCCATGCTAAGGGGTGACCCCAAAGTTTCTTCTTCTGAGGAGTTTGTAAAGAGATCTGCAGAACCCAGGGGGGCACTGCCTGATGAGAGGTCACTGCAGGACATTATAGTTAAGCTTGTTGATGAGAGGTTAGCCTTGTTAATCTCTGGTAATGTGAGGGCTGCAAAACAAGATCTAAATGTTCCAAAGTCTCCTGAAGAAGTGGACAGGCTCATCTTAAAGGTCAGTAGGCTTTTAACCCTCTTTTAATTGTCATTTAAATGGATGACTTAGTAATGATAATCTTATCGGAGTAACTTTAAGAAGAAACGTATTTTCCTATTAATAAAGTTCACATACTTATAGTATAGTTATTCTCTATATTGAATCTTGAGGCTAATATTCTGGTGTTCATATTAGTGTTCCTTGATTTATTTCAGCAATGTGAGCTTTTGCGCCAGAATTAATGTGAAGATTGAGGTGTCTTGTAAAAATATATTACTGCATATTTTGAAGTACAGTAAAAATAGGCCAAATACTAATAAGTTTTTCTTTGTATTGTGCTAAATATAAAACTTAATCAAATGTACTCCGTATTTGATAATTCTTCATTTAGAAGTGAATAGGTCATATTTTAAAGGAGAAAAACAAATAGACCTCATTTGAAGAAATGTAAATATCAACTTAGCTGGTATTGGAATGCCTTTGAATGTCTTCTCTAGGCTGTATCTGTCTCCATGAAAATGTTCATAGAATTGTTACGTGTTTGGCATTACAAAAACATATTCCTTAAACATTCTCCTATATTTACTATGATTCTTTTAACTTGTGGAAAAATGAGTCCTTGTTTATTTAAAAACAGTTCTATATTTTCTAAAAAAAAATTGGGTTGAACATCATAATATACAGAGTGTGGAGTATATTCAATAACGTTTTTCTGAGAAACATGTATCTCAGAAAGCAATTGCCATTTGTATTTGTTTTCCCCTGCAACATCCAACTAAGGATTGCTATTTGTTGCTGCAGCCAAAGACTGATGATGTAGATGTGTCTGAAGGATTAAAGCAGGAGGTTGCCATTAATAGTGAGCTCTTTGATAAGAAGAAAATCAAACAAGACTGGAGTTGTGACCTATGTCAAATTACGGCCACGAGTAAGGCGAGCTTAAATGATCACTTCCAAGGGAAGAAGCACAAGGCCAAAGAAGCACCAGGGAAGAACTTCAGCATTGGCCTTTCCCTGAACAGCCCAAAGCTCGACATGCCCAAAGAAAGCTCAATGGTGGTAATTACAGATGAGAAAAGTGCAGCATCGGGTCAAACCCAAGAAAAGACTGAGGTGAAGAAGAGGAAAAACTACAAGTTCTGGTGTGAGAATTGCGGGACAGGAACTTTTTCATCAAAAGTGATGGAAGACCACAAGACGGGGAAGAAGCATTTGTCTAAGGTGGAGAAGGACAGTGCAGGGATTTGAAAAGCCGCAGCAATAATGCAGGAAGATTGTTTAGCTTCATTCTTGTTAGTTGTATTTAGAGGCATAACTAGGTTACATTAACAAACATTGAGGTTACTACTCTCAGTGGAGGGAGTATTACTTAACTAACCAATTATTGTGCCTAATTATAAAGGTTAGTGATAGTTGTTGTGTTAACATGCTCTAAGAAATATACTTTGCAACAAACGGGTTTATGTGTAGAAAATTCTGATCATCAATTGTGTTTTAACTACTACATCAGAGTAGTAGTTAAAGAGCTTTCAGCTTTGAGTATTCTTGAGTTTTATTACAAGTATTTGAACTTACAAATATAGATTGTTGTAGTAGTATTGGCGGGTGTTATTAACTTATTATTAGAAACTTTTGTTAAGTTCCAAAACTAACTCTAGTTTTAATTTGTAATTTTAGTTGACACCCAACACATTTTGAGCATGGTCAAATTACATCAGACTCAAAATTTATTAAAAAGTTGAGCAATTTGAATGTTTTCATTTCAACAACCTAAGAATTATACTCCGTATATCTTCTGGATGATCATATACCATCATTAACATGCCATTTATCAATAAGAAGAAATTCCAGTCAACCGAGTGGGTAGGCTGGACGGAATGTGGCGCTGGAGACTGCCGCCGAAAATAAAACTATTCTTCTGGCAACTTTGTTGTGGTTGTCTGCCAACAACGACGAATTTGCGGCGTAGGATGGTGGACTGTCCGGAAGTTTGTGGACTGCGGCGAGGGCGATGAATCGCTGCTGCATGCCTGCATGTGTTCGTAAGGTGCCCGGTTGCTAAGGAAGCCTGGGGTTCGGTAGGCTGGATGGCTGTTGGTTCTTCTCAGAACACTTTTATGGGGTGGCTGCAATCTGTTTTTCAGTCCAAAAAGGAGCCGGAGCTGCAAACTGTTGGGGGCTGTGGGGAGAAAGAGATGGTCACGTGTGGCAAGGAAAGGGCTGAGACCTTCTACTGTTATGCAGAATTCCAGGAACTGTGTTGAAGCTTGGCTCCAAGTACCACAGAAGGGAATGGGTAATGTGGCAGCAGCAGCAGCAAGCTTGTCTCGGACTCAGGTTTGGCATCCTCCAGCTACAAGATGGAGGAAGCTTAACGTGGACGTGGCAAGGGGGAGTCGGGGCAGCAGGTCTGAATTATTAAGTATTCGGGAAGCTTTTAGTTGGTTAAAAAACATAAAATATCAAGGATGGAATTTTGTGGAGGTCAAATCGGACGCGGTACAAGCTATCTCAGAAATTCATAATGGGTCCAGCATCTCTTCGGTAGGTGTTCTGGCGGAAGATGTTCGGGCTATTAGTAAAAGGTTTTCGCATATTACCTTTAACTTTATTAGACGATCGCCAAACATAGTTGCTCATGAATTGACTGGAGTAGCTAGTTCTATACTTCTATGTCTGGTTGTTGTATCTGGATGGGTATTCCCCCAATTTGTATCTCGAACATTTTATCCTTTGATTTGATTCCTTTCGCACACAAAAAGAAAGAAGAAAGGCGGGGATCTCCAATTCAATGCAAAGCAAGAGGCCAAACAGAACATTGTAAAGTTTGGAATGCTAAAATTGATAAAAGTTGTAGAAAAGAAAAGAAGAAATTGATTAAAGTTGTTAAACAAGAGCAAAGTTGCACACTTTTTTCTACATCCAATCATTCATACGGAGTATAAGGCATGTCACTTCAAAAGTTCATAAACTATACAAACAAAGGTTTTGTTTGCAAATAATTACTCCGTAATTTAAGTGTTTTTTACTTTTTTTTAAGAAAAAAACACTTATTTTATCAAACAATACCAACTTTTACTTTCTCGATTTTCGTGTAGAATCTACTTATTACTTTTTCTATTACACAAAAAACACTTATTTTACCAAACACTACCAACTTTTACTACTAATCACTTTTTCCCAAAAAGTGCTTTTATTTAAGCACAATCACTTGCAAACAGAGCCAAAGAAATGTAACTCTAGGCTCAATTGATACGAAAAAACATATTTTACTAATTCCAGCAGTTCTATAATTTTGAGTGTAAACGTTTAGAAATGTTCAGAAAAAGTTGTTCGGAATCCTAAAGAAAAGATCATTTACCCTTCAATTTTTGCTTTCAATGAAAGTGTCAATAATGACTAAATGACTAAAATGGATCAAGGGTAGTCGACATAATGTTCACCAACAAGGCAACAAGGAAAGAACAAAATGTACTTCCCTAGTGGAGAAATTCACACCGATCAATAATTTATTCTAGACGAATTTTATCTCATAAATGGTATAAATATGTGCTCGTCAAAAATGGTGAAAAGAAAAGAATTTCCAATCAATCTAATAACACAAAATATAGAGTCCATCTCGTCATTCTCGTGTTTGCTAATCTTCAGGAATTTGCATATGCCAAACATCGTGTATACACATTATATTATATATATCTTGCAAATTGTCATTCTCCAAGGGAAAAACATGGGACACACTACTACTATTATAAGTTACTAGAGCCCCATACATACTGTGCTATATATATAAACTTTGGCTATGGCAGAGGATGGAGGACGGTGAGGATCAAACCCGAAGGGCAACAGGGTCTTGCCACGATATTTTGGGCTTCCTTGCCCTAGACGTACCCTCCCCCCCCTGCATTCCTACACAGTGAAATCCTTAAATCCCCACCGTGTTGATCTTCATTTACACCTCTCATCAAACTTCTTTCTGTCTCCTCTTGTAACATTGCCGGTTCAAAGTTCCACCTAGGTTCTTCTCCCTCAGTCTGTTAAACAGAGTCAATTTGGAAAATGTTAAAGGAATACTAAGAGCCAACAAGATACTTGCAATTTAAAAAAAAAAAAAGAGTTGCTTTTGTGTTAACTGGATGAAAAGTCCTTTCTTTCTGGAGATCTGTTGCTATATTTTTCAAAACATACAGTGAGAATATATGACTAAAATAAAACCCATGGGAAACCATTAGTGACCAAGTTGAAGTTTTGTTTAACGATTAGTGACGATGGTGATGTTCAGCTTCACACCAATCACCATGCAGAGTACTTTCAATGTGTATAGTAACCATGTACACATACTTTTGTAGTTTTCTTCATGAATTCTATTTAGTTATTTTATAGGACAAGCCTATCTCGGAAGTATATATGTTAAAATCTTTTGAAAAGATAATTCAGCAGAGCACTCCACAACTTCAGACATTTTAAGCATTACACGACAGTAAACTTTTTAAGCATAGGAAATGGGATTTACCGATATCTCATTCAAGTCAAATGGGACTCGAGTTGGAGGCGAAATGTCTTTCCAGCTGAGACTGCTCTCCTGGTTTAGATCAAAAAGCGGGACATGGGTCCCCCTCATGACAGCACTGTTCCCATCGTACAGCAATCTCACATTTTGGTTCAAATCAATAGCATTTTGTGTTGGCAAATGGAAAATGGAGTCTTTCCCGTTGTGAGTCTTGGAAACACCATGGTTAGAATCATAAGCCGGACCCAAACTAGGCAGAGCAGTAGGTTGCTTTGCACTACTGCTTATCTTTTGCCGTTTATGTCGATGCTTCATATTTGGTGGGAGAGTTGGAGTGATGTCCTGCAAAGCAGTTTGCTTTTTTCCCATGCCCATTCGCCCCTTCTGCTTTGGGTTTGTGCCGGGTACAAGGGGTGGTAATTTGTGTGGACCATCTTCTTTCTTACTAGGCCTAATGCTCTTCGTCTCGGTTTTAGAATTAGTTTCCGTTTTCAGGGTTAGCGTGTTGTTCTCTTGTGGCCTGTTCATTGAATTCAATTGCAATAGGTATGATCGCCTCTTTCTTAAGAATCTGCATAATTAAAAACACTTGTAAACAAACACGGACACTGATGTTTATCCCACTAAAGAATTCAGTCAAATTTCCGCCTAAACACAGCTAGGCGGGCTCATATCCTGCTTAATTCATCAGCTAATTCCATGTAATAAAATATAAAAAGTTACAAAAGAGATAGTAAGCATCATACCTGACTTCAGCAAGTAATATCAGCTTCTGCTTCTTCGCATCATCCAATTTTTCTCTTCTGCTGTTGATTTCCTATAAACAATAAAATTACACGTCAATTATCAAGCATCTATGTCATCAACGAGCTTATCTATAGACCTATTAATCGAATGTACAAAAAAGGGAAACATATATCATCATCATTATGATAAAATGCAAGAACAAGGACAAAGAAACACACCTTTTAACACACAAATCACATCAAATAATGACATTAGGAAACATGTTCTGGATTATGAATAAGCGGAAACAGGTCAAGCAAAGTTTTAATTCACTGAAGAACTTTTATAGCAACATGTTGAATAAAAACATACAAAGTGCTGATACAGATAATTATTAATGAAACAAAATGAAGGTATAAGTTTATAAACAAATAAAACAGAAAATAAAACAAAGCTTACAAAGGATGGGAGGAAGAATAAGAGGAACCAAACAGGTCACATACTCATTACAATTTTAAAGGCAGCGACCATTACTAATTAATACTAAAAACTGTTACAGTTCGTAGGAAACCTCATAATCAAAACAAGAGCTTACACAAGTAGATCCTTCACAAAAGATAATACAACTACACATAAAAAAGAGTAAAGGCATATGCTTTTATTTCAACATATAAAACAAAAAAAAATCAGTAATCAAAATCCAATAAGTGAAATTAGTTGAAATAATGAAATCCAAGGGCTTGATACCATCCTACAAGATATATTAACACTACAAGTCAAACGAAACCCTAAATCAAGAATCATGTTTTTAAAAAAACCCTAAAGCAGGAACCAAGTAAAAAAAAAAATCAGATCAAGGATCGAGTTCAACCGAAAACGTAAACCAAGAACAGATCTGGAAAGAGGGATCAAAAATCAACCAACCATTTGCAGTTCTTGAAAGTCCTGGAAGAGAGCCTGGTGCTTTTCTCTAGCCCTAGCATCCTCATACCCACCATAACTTGACGATTCCATGGAAACCCTCTTCATCTTCTTAGACATCAGACCGAACGACAATCAAGGGGGTGCAGAAGGAGAGAAAGAGAGAGAGAAAGAGAGAGAGGAAAGGAGAGGGAAAGATGGAAAGTAGAGGCGTGCAAGGAGAGAAATAAAGAAAAGACAGAGAGATAAGGTGGTGGTGGGAAGGTTCTTTAGAGCTTTGCTGTTTTCTCTGTGAAAGAAAACTCTGACCAATACAAAGCCCAAAAAGCCCACGTTATCCGGGTGTGGAAATACGGTATTTAAGATTATATATATAAAACATTGATTGTTGCTGTTGTTATTGTGTGGGAAGATGAT